CACTTGAGCTACAGCGCCACTTCCAGTTTTCTGGTGGTTTATTGGAGATAGGAGTCTCACGGTCTCTCCTGCCTGGGCTGGCTTTGAACTGCCATCCTCAGATCTCAGCCTCCTGAGTAGCTAGGATTACAGGCATGAGCCACCAGCGCCCGGCTTTACACTCCTACTTTATAGACATGTGTTGACACATCAAGCTCGCTAAAACCCTTCCCATGAAGGATGTTTTTCTGGCCAGTCTTAAGCCATTTAGCTCCTCTCCTCTAATGAAGGTCTACCCTTCCTTCATCTGAGAGTTTTCGAGAGTGACTTCTCATCTTCATAAATGAGGGCTGACTGAAGTTCAACTGTCCAGATTTTGTATTTCTTATGGGAAGATAAAAGGTGCGGGTACTGAAGTACTGTAGCAAAACCCTGCAGTGATTAAGTATCTTGTTTTTCATCTCCCAATAATCACCAAGGAAATGGCTAGTGGACTTAAAAAAGAGTAACAGAGTGGGCTGGAGGTGCGGCTCAGGTGGTAGAATGCCAAGTGAGAAAGGAAGGGCATGAGGCCCTGAGTGCCTAGTACTAGCAAAAAGAAGGAGGGGGGAGGAAAAAAAAAGAGGAGGAACAGAAAGAGGGGAAGGAAGAGAAAGGAGTGACTGGCCAGGCTTAGGTATAGCTACTGGAGAGGTAGAAGCAAGAGGACCACTTGAGCCTAGGAGTTCAAGCACAGGCTGGGAAGCATATTGAGACCCTGTCACCACCAGTCCCCTCTCCAATAAGAGACTGAGGAGAGGTAGTACAACTAATTTTCAAAGTTGTTATAGGAGAAGTAGATGTATGTAATAGCCCATCAAAATCTCTGCTTGTGGGCTGGGAAGGTGGCTCAGTGGTAGAGCGCTTGCCTTGCATGCATGAGGCCCTGGGTTTGATTCCTCAGTACCACATAAGCAGAAAAAAAAAAGCTGGAAGTGGCGCTGTGGCTCAAGTGGTAGAGCGCTAGCCTTGAGCTGAAGAGCTGAGGGACAGCGCTCAGGCCCAGAGTTCAGGCCCCACGACTGGACCCAAAATCTCTGCTTGTGCCTGGCACTGGTGGCTCATGCCTGTAATCCTAGCTACCTCAGGAGGCTGAGCCAGCTGGGGCAGGAAAGTCCATGAGACACTTATCTCCAATTAACCACCAGAAAACTGGAAGTGGAACTGTGTGGCTCAAGTGGTAGAGTGCTAGCCTTGAGCAAAAGAATCTCAGGGACAGTGCCCAGACCCTGAGTTCAAGCCCCAGTAGCACCACCACCACCAACAACAAAAAAAAAAAAAAAAGGAAAAAATCTGCTTGTAAAGACTTAAAACTTCAGTTAGGCTGAGCTCTATCCTAACTACTCAAGAGACTGAGATCTGAGGCTTATGGTTGAAAGCCAATTGTCTGCAAGACAATTATCTCCATTTTACCAGCAAAGAGATGGAAGTGGAGGTGTGGCTCAAATGATAGACTGCCAGTCTTGGGAGTAGGGAGATCTAAACAAGAGTGAGAGGCCCTGAATTCAAGCTCCAGTACCAACACACACACACACACACACACACACACACACACACACACACACACACACACACGATTTAACTTAGTCATATTTTTAGTCCCAAGGGCTGATGAATGGTAGATGCAGATGGGGGAAAATCCTCCTCCGCCTCCTCTTTGGTTAGCTGAGGCAGTATCAGAAGTGACAGGTCAAAGGGCACCTAACCCAAGACCTGGCATATGCTGGGATGCCTGGGCACATGATCTGCCCCTGAGCTACATCTCCGCCTGCCCGGTGCTTTCTAGTGTAACCGCGACTACCTCAATCTCCTCCATCAAGAGTTCCTCTGTCTTGTTACATTTTCTCTGGGTCTGAGAAATCTGCAGCTCAGTATTTTTTTTCATATATTGATTCTCCATGTTGGTTTTTGCCTTCATCTCTTGAAGCTGGTCCTTGAGGTGAGAAATATATTCATTCCGACTCTGCAGAGAGAAGACCAGGCTTTAATTCATTCATACATTCATTCAGGTGAGGGCTTCTGGTGCCAAAATGTGAGACCTGAAAGGGTTAAAGAACTTGGAATGCCAGCTGGAAATGCCCTCTGAATGTTGAGGGTCCAGCCCAAGTAAGGTCAAAAATGGTCAAGGGCAACAGAGGTGAACATTACTACCCCAAATGTGTTAAAATAGAGCTGCTTGGACACTAAAAGCTTGAGAACTTGGAGATCAGATGGATGTCTGTTTTACGGATGGAATGTTTTATTGCCCCCTTCTGCTTCCCAACAATAAGGAAGTCAATTATTTCTATGTATACAAATTATACCTCATATTAATGGTTGTAACCACAAGGTAGATTGATAACCTAGTCTCTGCATAGATTGATTCTCAAGTCTCTACACTTATCTGTAATCGTTCCTCCCCCTGTACTGAAATCAATAAAAACACTTGTTTACAGGGCCAAGGTAATCAGAAGTCCAATGAGCTTTTGATTCTCCCTGGTCCCCCAAAATATCAATTCTTTCACCTGGTTTCCTGTTCTTTTTCCTGGTTGCAGCAGTCAGCAACAAATTTATATAGATGTGTGTATATACGTATGTGTGTACATATATATATATATATATATATATACACACATACATATATTCATCAGCAGAAAAACTGGCTAAATAAATAAATGAAAAGTCAAGAAGATTTTTTTTGAGAGGTTGAATCGGGAGTCTTTATTACAAAGCTCGTGACTCCAAGTAGACTCATGTCTCAATGAACTTGCAGCAGCCAAGAATTATTATTTTTTTTTGCCAGTCCTGGGGCTTGAACGCAGGGCTGGGTATTATCCTTAAGCCTCTCTATGCTCAAGGCTAGCACTCTACCACTTGAGCCACAGAGCCATTTCCAGCCCTTTCTGCTTATGTGGTACTGAGGAATTGAACCCCAGGGCTTCATGCATGCTAGGCAAGCACTCTACCACTAAGCCACTTCCCCAGCACAAGAAAGACATCTATGTAGACATGTAAGCTCAGTAACTTTTAATGTTATGCAGGTAATTCTTACCTGTACTTCAGCTTGTCGTTCTTTTTTTACATTCATTACTTGCTTCTGAAGAGATTTGATCTGCTTTTTTCCTTTTTCCTCCCTAGAAGAAACAAGAATAAATATAGTAGGGTATGGTGGGACATACCTGTAACCCCAGTACTTTGGAGGCTATGATAGGAGGAACATGAACTGCTTAGCAAGAACCTGAGCAAAAATTAAAAAATAAACAAGGGAGTTGGGTACCAGTGGTCCACAAGAGCCTTATCTTCAATTAACCATCACAAAGCTAGGAGTGGAACCGTGGCTTAAAGTGGTGGAATACTGGCCTTGAGCAAAAAAGCTCAGGGACAGTGCCCAGGCTCTGATTTCATGTTGGTACAAAAACCAAACGTCTTTACAACTCTGAGATTCCATCTCCTCTCAGTTAAATTGGCCAACATTGTGAATTCATACAACAAATGTTGGTGGGGATGTGGGAAAAAGGAACCCTATTGCACTGTTACATTCCCACTATTGGTAGGAATGTAAACTGGCACAACAATTTTGGACAGCAGTCTGGAGATTCCTCAAAAAACTTAACATAGATCTTCACTACAACCCAGCCATACACTTCTGGGAATCTACCCAGATCATTACAAGTCAGATACACTAAAGACACTTGCACATCTATAGGTTCATTGCTACACTATTCACAACAGCCAAGTTATGGAAACAGCCCAGATACCCTACAACAGATAAGTTAATTAATCAAAGGTGGTTCCTATGCCCGGGCTGGTTTTGAACCGAGATCCTCAAATCTCAGCCTCCTGAGTAGCTAGGATTACAGGTGTGAGCCACCCTGTAACTGGCTCACACAATGGAATTTTGCTCATCCATTAGAAAGAATAAGATTACATTATTTGCAGGGAAATGGATAGACCTAAAACAAATCATGCTAAGTAAGGTAAGCCAAGCTAAGCTCAGAGAGACAAATAATGCATATTTTCTCTCATATGTAGAAGCTAGATCTAAAATATAACTGGATATGATAACCCATACAGAACTCTAAGCATTCATACACAAATAGCCTAATGGAAGATACCCTTAGGGGAGGAACACAAAGGTGTAACTTTTCTGAAAACTTAAAATACTATTTATCAAAATGAAATTCAGGAAATGGAAGCATGGGTTTTTTTCTGCTGTTGTTATTGTTATGATTGTTGTTGGTAGTGCTGGTGGTGTTTGTTTTTGCTTTGTGTTTTTTCTTCTGGAGAGGTAGAGGGGGGCACAGAAAGGGAGAAAGGAAGAGTGAACAAATGCAGTCATGATATTCAGTATACATTATGTGAAAAATGAGCTATGTAATTTGTGGGCAGGAATCGGAGGGGAAAACTGGGGGAAAGAAAAGAAATGTACTCATTACCTGACTTGTGAAATGGTAGCCCTTCTGGACAACATTAATAATAACAATAAAATTACTTTGTTTAAAAAGGAAGATTACTATGGGAAAAACAACATCCTTTCCTGTGGGGGCTGGGGGGGCAGGGTTAAGGGGGTACTGGGTGTTGAATCCAGGGATTTTCACATGTTGAGCAAGTACTATACTGCTGAGCTATATCTACAATCCCTTTTTGTGAGTCACATTTCCCTGTGATGCCCAGGCTAGCCTCAACCTTGTCATCCTACTGCCTCAATTTCCTCAACAGAGTCAGGATTACAGATGTATACCACCATACTAGGCTATACTATTCTTAATATATCATAAACTCAGATAACTAGGGTCCCAATAATGTGAGTTATTGTCTTAGCTAGGTTGGAATGGAATCCAAATTGCTGACTTCTAGCTATCTTTGCTGGAAAATTCATACTTAGTACGTTTTAGAAGTGTCAAGGGCTGGGTCTGGGAATGTGGCTTAGTGGCAGAGTGCTTACCTAGCATGCATAAAACCCTGAGTTTGAGGGACTGGGAAGGTGGCTCAGTGGTAGAGTGCTTGCCTTGCATGCATGAGGCCCTGGGTTCGATTCCTCAGTACCACATAAGCAAAAAGAAAAAA